TGCAGGAGCTGATCAGCTCAGCAGAGCACAGCAGAGCTCCCCAAGGCAGCACATGGCCACCAGCTGCTGCTGCAGTGCGTCCTTGTCCCCTTCAGCTGCCCTCCAACTCCCTCCCGGCACAGCATCTGGCCCCGATGGCATCTGCACTCTGCCCACGTGGCCTCTGTCACAGCAGTCCCCATGGGCATAAAACACCCCTTGGCTGCACCATGGCACAGGGGATCGAATCCTTGTGGACCACTCTGAAAAGTCCTGTTGTGGATGCAGAGGAGGACCCAGGGCCAGATCCTGCCCATTTCCTTGGAGCAGAGTGGGCTGAGCTGCCTTCCCGTGTCCAGGAGGGTTGTGAAGCTGGATGGGGCTGGCACAGCTGGATGCTGTCACACTGGGATTGCCTCCAAGCTTAGGAGAGCCCTGCCAACCCAGTCCCCTCCAGCCACCCCCTCACGTGTCCCAAATCCAGCTCCCCAGCAGCTCAGGTACACAGGGACAGGCGAAGGCCCTCTCAGCCCAGCAGCACACCCCGACAGCTGGATGGAGGGTCTGGGGACACATTTTCCTCAGCACATCCAGCAGCCCCACAGCCACAGAGATGGGCTGAGCTCCTCAGGGCTCTCTGCACCTCGTTAGGAAAATGAGCCCTGCCTCAGCATCCCACCCCCAGGCTGGTCCCCAGATGGGCCAGACCTACCCCAAGGAGCACCCAGATGAGCCAGTGACCCTGTGGGATCAGCAAGGGACCCAGTGCTGGGCAGAAATACAGCTCAGAGAGGTCCCTGGGGATGCTTTGGCCCCACTCAGTATTTTGGGGAACACTGGCTGAGTGGCTGCATCTGGCACAGCCCTGGAGAGAGGTGCCAGGTCATCTGGGAGTGAGAGGAGAGAAGAGGTGACCTCTGTGCCTGGCTGCTCAGGGAGCAGGAGGGCCAGCCCACGGCCACTGGCAGGGCCACCCAGCCCTTGGCCAGCTGCCCTTGGCCAGTCACTCAGCACAGCACATCCCTTCACAGCCGCTGCACACAGAGCCCACCCCATGCTGCACCAACATCGGGGTATTTTTAGCCTGGAAAAGTGCCACAAAATCAGAGAGCCACATTAGCTGGAGTTGGGACCGACGTCTCCGTTCACCTTGCAGTCCCCTCTGGGTCACCCTGCCCAGCTCGGTGAGGCAGTGGGTCCTGCTGGCACTGCTGCAGAAGCACCGAGCACCCAACGGGCTCCCCAGTGCCACCTGTCCCCTCCTCCCATGCCGTGGTGACACCTTCTCCTCAGAGCAGCCCCAAATTCCCCCAGCAAATTCCCATGAAATTCCAGAGCCACTGAAGGGGACATCCTGCCCTGTCCCTCTGGTGGTTACATCCGACCCAGTGCCCGCTTGCCCTGCTGAGATGTGTGGGGGAAGTTGGACTCTCTGCCCGTGCTCTGCTGCCAGTGGGGCCTCAGTCCCCCCACCAAAGCCCCACTACAGTTATTCAGCCCTTAGTCACTCATTTATTGCCATGAGATGATTTATGCTCCTGCTGGGAAAGGAAAGCCCCACAGCCCATTATGCAGCTTCTCCAGGGAAAGACAGGGACCAGCATGACACTGGAAAACCGGAGGAATGTGACATTGCACGAGAACAGAGCACCCAAGCTGCGCTCACGCCACGGGGAGCCGCGGGCTGAGGGCAATGCACAGCCACCCATGAGAGTGTGTTCTCCCCAGCATTCATTTCACACCCCATTAAACCCCTCAGAATGTTTGCTTTGGGGGACTCTGTCACCATGTCCACCCCAGGGCCGAGGGGCTGCCCTGAACGCAGGCTCGTGAGGTTTTCCTTGGAAACAGTGATGAGGCTGTGTCTGCTTTCCCTTCCTTGCACTGCTCAGGGGATTAAAAAAGGAAAGGAGAGCTGACATAGCCCTAAACTGAAGGCACAGAGGCCTTGAATCTTTCACAAGGAGCGTTTTGGTCCCCAGGGCTCATTAAGCATTTAAGCAATTGGTCCAGAGAAGAAGCACGCAGCAGCACTTGCATGCTGGCTGGCTGGCAGAGCCCTCTGCACTCAGCAGCTCTGTTTCACACCTTGGTTTCTGCAAAAGAAAATCCCAGTCCTGGGGCAAAAGAGGCAGGAGGATGTCCAAAGGTGACTGGGTTGGCTGGGAGCCTTGGGAGAGGGGAAGGAAAGCAGGAGAAAATTAGGAGACAGGATGGAGGTGCCTGCTGTGTGGTGCTCTCCAATTACAATAAGTAGAATCTCCCAGAACATCTGCCTCTGTGCCTGATGAATTGCAGAGTTGTTATTCTGTCCTGTCCTATCCTGTGCCAGCCCTTCACCGTGTCTGGGGCTCAAAGTTGCAGAACAAGTGATGCCCCCCAAATGGGAGCTGCCTCTAAGCTGCTATCAAACCCTCCCCAGAGCCCTCTGCCCTCCAAGCCTGCTGGAGGGGAGGTGGAGCAGGTTGCTTAAACCCCACCACAAACCTGTGCCCACCTGGAGCTTCTGTCCCTCCTGATGCTTCAGGTTTTCCTGGCTTCCAGAGCAGAGGCAAATCTCTGTGCTCACTCCAAAGGACAGGCCAAGGAGCAGCGTGGGCAGCAGTGTCCTGGTCCCTGGATCCTGGCATGCTGCTGCTGCTGGGGGAGCCCAGGAAGGAGCAAAGTGCGCTCCTTTGCCCTCTGTCCTCCCTCTCACTCACCCCTCAACACAAATGGCACAAAATAGATCTTACAGGTTCATCCCAAAATCGAGCTTTAGCAGCTCAACCTTTTCTCTGGAAAAAAACCCAAACCTCGGAGGGGTTGAATCACCCACACCCAGAGTCAGGGCATGGTCCTTGTCCCATGTCCCTTGCCTGGTCTTGCTGCCGCTGGGAAGAACAGCCACAGGACAACCTGGTGGTGGATGCCTGTCTCCAGCAGCCCAGAGCTGACAACTGCCTGCTGGCTGGCATCTCTGCTGCTTACAGAAAACTCACCTCAATGCTCTGATTTGAGGAACACGGGAAGAAAACTATTCTTGTCACTCCCAAAAATCTCCTGGCCGGGATGAGGCGCAGTGCCTGGGATCCCCTGGGCACAGCTGGGCTCTGCTTTTGCAGCTCCTGCTCCATCCCCCCAACACAGCCAGCAACAAATCAGCACCGCCTTTGCCTGCCTGATGGGATCCTCGCTGCCTTCATTTTCTTAGAGCTTATTTTCAGCACTGCTTCACTCCTGGCAGTGCAGGCTGCCTGCAGAGCTGCAAGGTGGGCAGGACGGCTATGGCTGCACCATCTCCCACAGTCCTACCCATCAGGGAGCCACACTGGCTTCACCAGCTTCTCCAAGGGTGTTGTTATCTCTGCCAGGGCTCTGCTGACCGCAGAGTGTGTGGCTCGTGGCTGGTTATCTTTAGAGCCCATGCTCATGCTCACCTGCCCCGCTGGCTCCACAGCCACTCTGCCCATTCCCAGGCCCCTTGGCTGATGCAGGCACACCGTGCCAGTGCCTCAGTTTCCCCAGGGAGCAGAGAGAATGCACTGGCTCCCCTCCTCCCGGCAGTGTCAGGTCCGTTTAGCTCGGACAGTCCGTGGAAGAGGAGCTGTCACACAGTGAGTGCTTGCTCTGTGCCCCGGGGCTCCAGATTGTTCCTTGCGCCTCCCAGCACCGTGGCCCCATAAACATTAATATCGACAGTAATCAGAGGAGACTTCTCCCAGCTCCTGGTGCAGGGAGAGCCAGGGATGAGGGCTCCTGCATGCTGCCTCACAGCCAAATGCCCGCTGCCCACAAGGCACCCCAGGCTCAGCTTCTCACAGCCAGCCCTCACTCCTGTTGCCTCCCTACAGCAAATCCATCGGGGAGCTCTCAAAATCCTGTGCAGCTCCTCACTTGCCCTGGGGAGAGCAGGCACAGGGGCACCATGCTCTCCTCCTCCTCCTCCACTGAGATCCTCCTCTGTGGACCCCTGCAGCAACTGCTGTACAGCAGCTCCGAGCCATTATCAGGCTGCAATTAATATAAATAAACGAGATGAGCCAACCACAGTAGAGTGAACAGAAACCTGACTGACATATCCTCCGGGAATAATTTATTCTGCACTTGAATCTTTTTTTAATACTATTTACTTCCTTGCAAATTAATCAGATTGCCTAGGACCAGAGGCTTGGCTGGGTGACCCCGGGGGACAGGGCAAAGGCAGCCGAGCAGCCCGAGTCCCAGCCCTGCCTCTGCCGCCCGGGTTAACAAGCATCTCCCCTCCCTCTGCCTTGGTTTCCCTCTCCCTGGCAGCCGCTGCATCTCCCGCACCACGCAGACATGACTGTCCATCTTGTGTTCTGCCCCTACCGAGGGACACGATGGTCCACGTGCTGAACCTCTGGGAAAGGCAAGTGCGGGGGTCTCAGCGGGAGGGCTGAGCCCCCCGGGTCCTGGGAACCCTGCCTGCCCACGGGCCGGCCCCGAGCTGCGGCCCCGAGGCCAAGTGGAAGGATTTAGGAGCCCGGCTTTTCCCAGCCGCTCCCTTTCCATCCGACGGGCAGCACCTCTGGGACATCCCTCAGCGCCCGCACAGCCCTCGATCCCAGCACATCCCTCAGCGCGGCACGTCCGCTGATCCCAGCGCGCTTCTCGTCCTCGGAGCGCCCCTCGCAGAGCCATCAGCCCTCCCACATCCCTAAACCCCACCGCATCCCTCGACCCCAGCACACCCGCACATCCCCCGACCCCGACACCGGTGCGCCCCTTCCCAAACCCCAAGGGTCCCTCCCGCCCCGCCCGCGGAGCCCCCACGGAGTTCCCGGAGAGCCTGGGCAGGGCTGCGGGCCCCGAGGGGACGGGGAGGAGGCGGGCACGGGGCCGGAGCCCCCACACCGCCGCTCCCGCCTCCTCCCTCCGCGGCGGGCGAGGCTCCGCCCGGCTCCCGGGGCCCGCAGCCGCCCGGCGCCCACCCCGCGGCGGGCGCCCGGACTATGAGGAGCGGGACCGGGCTGGGGGCGGCGGCAGCGGCGGCGGCAGCGGCCCCGGAGCGGCGGCAGCGGGAGCGGGGACGGCTCCGCCGCCGGCCGGGTCATGCCCGTGCGCCCGGGGCGGCGGGGCTGCGGGCTGCGGCGGGATGGGCGCGCTCCGGGCCGGTGCCCTCGCCTTCCTCCTCCTCCTCCTCCTCGGCTGCCTCCTGCCCCGGCGCGGCCCGCTCAGGTGAGCGCACGGCGCGGGTGCTCGGGTGCTGGCGGGGCTGCGGGCACCGGGGCTCTCCGTGCCGCTCCCTCGGCATCCCCAACCCGCGGGAGCCACGATTCCCCTCCGGGACCTGGGTATCACCCCTCCCAGAGACAGATTTGTCCTGCGGGACCTGGGCATCCCCTCCCTGACCTGAAGGAGCCCCGGGACCCATACCCCGACCCCCGATCCGGACCTCCCTCCAGAGCATGATCCCCCTTGCCAGAACGCTCCCAGCCCCTATCTGGACCGCCCCACGGGCCACTGGAGCTCCCCCGAATCTGACCTCACCCCCCTATTCCCCAGGACCCTGACCCAGCATCCTGGAGGACCCACCAAACCTTTCCCATCAAGCCCCCCTACACACACAGCCAGGCTCTCTGCCTCTCCCCAGCAGTCCCTGCCCCAGTGCTGGGTCCCTGAATGTCCCCATGGCCTCGGGCCAGCTGGGGAGTCTTGCCCCAGCGGGAGAAAGGGTGAGCTGAGCCAGGGGATAGTCCAGGCAGCTCCTTCTCTGGTGCTGCAAAGCCCCTACTATGTCCAGACCCTCTCCAGGCTCATGATGTGCAGGGGTAGGAGAGCTCAGGACAGCCCCTGACCCAGCCCCTGGTCACCTGGCCCAGTGGGTTGGTGCCCCAGGTCCCACGGGTGCAGGAACAACTCTTGGCCCACTTGGGTGGAAAATCTAAAGCCCCCATGTGCCTTTTTCCATCTCTGTGCACCTCGGGTGCTGTCTGGGATGGGGTGGGATGCCGGGGAGAGCGGGCCAGGCAGGGAGGGGTTTAGGGGGCTGCAGTGCTCCTGGACTGAGCCTGCTCCCTGCCCCACTGTCCCTCCCACCACCCGGCCAGTGGCTGGAGCAGCACGGCAGGGGAGGGAACCGCAACATTTGTGGCAGGGAGGGGTGGAATGGTATTGCTTCACACGCAAGAAACTGCTTGTCTCGGGGTGGAGGGGTGGGAGGGGGGCATTTTTAGGCAGATGTTAGCATTTTCCAGCCCTACCACCCACTCGCTCCCCAGAGACGCTGAGCTCCCTGCAGCGCCTGGATCCTGTGGCAGAGGCCCCCAGGGCAGGCAGTGCCAGCGGTTCAGAGCTATGTGGCAGGCAGGGCCTGACTTAAATCCTTTCTACCCTGTCCTCTTGGAGTCCTCCTCCCAAAGGCACCACACCTTGCCAGTGCAGCTCCTGGGCGGGGAATTTCTCCCAGCCTTTTGCTCTTGGTCTGGACACGTCTCAGGTGCTCTCTGCTGCTCTTCTCCAGTTAAGGAGATATCCAGCCCTGCTGGAAAATTTTGGGTCAGCTGCTGTGGCCATTTCTAGCTGGCAAGGATGCACACAAGCCCCTCTAGGATGAACCTCACTCCCTTGAAAAGGGGTAGGAACAAGCAGGTAGGACAAAGGACCCCAGAGTTCCCAGCTCCCAACATCGTCCTCTTCTTGTGATAATGGTGTTGTAGCTTCAACTAGGAGGGAGACCCACCTGGGCACGGACCTGGTGGAGTTACAAGGCAGCATGCAGCAGCACCAGCAACATGCTCAAAGCTCATTTTGTGTCCAGAGATCCCTGGCTAATTCCTCTCCATCACAGCCACATGCCTGGCAGTGTGGTGAGCGAACATCTCTCGCATTGTTCCTTGAAATTATCATTACAGACTGACGGAAGCAGAGAAGCTGGCAGGCTAAGATGCATTCACAAAAATATCCCCTCTAAAGTCAGCTTAAATAAATCTCCATCATCGTTGGGAGCGCTGCGTGGGAGAGCTCATGTCAGCATGGCTGGTGAGGAGGTGGGCTCTGCTGCTCCTCTCCTGCCGCCTCGCCTTGGCCCCTGACGAGGTGTCACAACCTCAGCTGTGCTCCAGACACCTCCTCACTCTCACCAGGCCAGTCCTCGGCTCTGACAGGGCTGTTGTGTCCCCCGAGCCCCCACCAGGCCATGCCTCTGTGCCAGGCAGGGTACGATTGTTTGCTCAGCAGCTCCAGCTGGAGATGGTGATGGAGCCTGGGAAGGAGCCTCCCTGCTTGGATGGAGCCTCCCTCTCCAGCACCAGCACAGAGCACAAGGCATGGCCTGCTGTGCCCTGTCCCCATGGCAGCCCTGGAGCAGGGAGGCACCCACACTGTGCCAAGGGATGTATGACACTCAGACTGTGGCAGGTGAGGGGAAAAGCCACAGGGATCAGAGCAGAAGGAAGGGGTCCCGGGGTCAGTGCGGGGACTTGGCGGTGGAGCAGATGCAGTGCAGGCACAGCTGCTTGCCCTGGCAGCTGGCAGTCCCCACGGGGTGCCAGGACGTGCCTGCAGACCCCTGGTGCTGGCAGGCAGATAACCTGCCTCCTCTGCCCCGCAGGCTGGTCTCAGGGAGGGAGGAGACTAAAGCTGCTTCCCGAAGCTCACCCCAGCCCATGTCACCCTCTGATTTCCTGGACAAGCTTATGGGACGAACATCAGGGTATGACGCCCGAATTCGACCCAACTTCAAAGGTAAGACGGGATGTGAGGGTCCCCAAGCCTGGCAGCCATCCATGCTCATGGCTGCCCCGACCCAGGGAATGGGCTCTGGGGGCAGGACCCTGACCCCAACACCCTCCCCCGAGTCCCGGCTGCTCCTGCCGTCACGGCCGCTCTGTGTGTGCCCGCTCTGTCTGACAGCACGGGCGGCTGCAGCGCTTGCAGGGTGTGCTGGGGTTCACCCCCACACCCCCGGGGGTGGCCCCAGCAGGCAGGGGCACGCTCGTGTGCACTGATGCACGCAGCACACGCAGGAGCTGTGTCGCGGTGCCCGTGTCTCAGCAGCCAGCGGCAAGAGGAGGCTTCACGCTCTTTTCCAGGTCCACCCGTCAACGTGACGTGCAACATCTTCATCAACAGCTTTGGCTCCGTCACCGAGACCACCATGGTGAGGGTTTTGCCAGTGGGACGGGCTCCTCCCCCAGTGCCTCGGGGCTGGCTGTGGCTGTGGCTGTGGCTGTGCCCAGCAGCGTGTGGGTCCCAGTGCCCGAGCCCATGGCCACACTTACAGTGGTCCTATGACAGGGGGCCCTTCCCTGGCACCAAGGGGGGGACATGCAAAGCCATAGCACATGGCTGTGATTTTTTTTAACCCAAGCTTGTCTGTGTGGGTCACACTCCCTGTTCCTGAGCTGGGAGAAAGACCCCCAGAAGGTCACAGCGAGGCAGCTGTAAGCAGCTTCCTGCCATCCCCAGCCTCCTTGGGTACATGAGGAACACCTCTGAGGAAGCCCCAGGGCTAAAAATTTACCATTTGTGCTTCTGCAAAGCCATAATACAATCAACCATCCTATCAACAGGGCCACAGAGTCATATGCAGAGTGCTGCGAGCTGCAGTTACTGGTCTTCCTCCTTCTCCTCCTCCTCTCAGCTGCTGTGGCTTTGTCTTTTTAATTTCTCCGGGCTGCCAACAGCATGGAAAGGCTCCAGAGCTGCCCCTGCCCCGTGCACTGTTAGCTGCAGGCAGGAGGCAACTGCAGGGCTGAGCCTCAGTGGGGGGAGCCCCTTCCACCTCCTCCTCCATCCATTCTTCCTCCCCTTCCTGGGCAGCAGGGGGTGGTCCCAGCTGACGGGTGCCCTCTGTCCAGGACTACCGGGTGAACGTGTTCCTGCGGCAGCAGTGGAACGACCCCCGCCTGGCCTACCGCGAGTACCCCGACGACTCCCTCGACCTCGACCCTCCATGCTCGACTCCATCTGGAAGCCAGACCTGTTCTTTGCCAACGAGAAAGGGGCCAATTTCCACGAGGTCACCACCGACAACAAGCTGCTGCGCATCTTCAAGAATGGCAATGTGCTCTACAGCATTAGGTAGAACCCCCTCCTCTGGGGCAGTGCCCGAGTGGGGAGGCAGAGCCTTCCATGGAGCAGCTTTTCCCATCTCACTGCCCCAACATCCTCCTTTCCTCTGCCTTCTCCAGGCTGACACTGATCCTGTCCTGCCCCATGGACCTCAAGAACTTCCCCATGGACATCCAGACATGCACCATGCAGCTGGAGAGCTGTGAGTACCTAGGGGGGTTCAAGCTGTGCTTCTTCCCCCCATCTCATCCCATCCCAAAAGCTGGCATCTGCCCTCTCCTGAGGGAGGTGAGCAGGAAAGCACAGTTGTTCAGGGTGGGGTTGAATAGGGTGCATGTCCCTCCCCGTCCCATGGCTCCCTACATCCCCTCCAGTTGGCTACACCATGAACGACCTCATCTTTGAGTGGCTGGAGGAACAGGAGGCTGTGCAGGTGGCAGAGGGCTTGACACTTCCACAGTTCATCCTCAGGGATGAGAAGGACCTGGGCTATTGCACCAAGTACTATAACACAGGTGAGCACCCCAGGATCCTGCTGCCACCCCCTCATCCTGGCCCAGGGGTCCCTCTTACCCATCAGGGCTGTCTTTCCCCACAGGCAAGTTCACCTGCATTGAGGTGAAGTTCCACCTGGAGAGGCAGATGGGTTACTACCTGATCCAGATGTACATCCCCAGCCTGCTCATTGTCATCCTCTCCTGGGTCTCCTTCTGGATCAACATGGATGCAGCACCAGCCCGGGTGGGCTTGGGCATCACCACGGTGCTCACCATGACCACGCAGAGCGCCGGCTCCCGCGCCTCCCTGCCCAAGGTCAGTGCTGGGCTCCCCTGCTGCAGCCTGCCTGGGCACCCGGGGTGATCACTGCCACCCCCAGTGCTCCAGGGGCGGGGGGAGCCTTTCAGAGGCTTAGCTCTGCAGCCTCACTGGCTGGGACACCACATGTGCTGAGGAGGAACACGATGCTGCTTGGCTGGGCGAGCTCTGGCCCGTGTGTGCCAGCTGAGAGGGCTCCTGTGCCTCTTGGCAGCAGGATAAAACAGAGGGGGGGGGGGGGTTTGACAAGCGAGGTGGGGGCCAGTGGGTGCCTGAGCCCCCTCTCCCCCTGGCAGGTGTCCTACGTGAAGGCCATTGACATCTGGATGGCCGTGTGCCTGCTCTTCGTCTTCGCTGCCTTGTTGGAATACGCAGCCGTCAACTTTGTCTCCCGCCAGCACAAGGAGTTCATGCGCCTGCGCCGCCGCCAGCGCCGCCAGAGGATGGTGAGTCCCCCCTGCCACCACTCTCGCTGACACCTGTCCATCCTCAGCCCCTGAGGGGACACCCCAGGGCTGCAGGGCCACTTTCCAGCAGCCCCCAGCACAGGGCTCGGCTCTGGGCTGTGTTCATTGCCCAGGGCTTCTGGCCAGCTCCTCTGGCACACCAGGGACCCCCTGCCTGCCTGAGCAGCGCAGGGCACAGCACCCTTGGGTGCTCCAGGCCTTGCTTAGGGTGCTGCCCTTCTCCTGCGGGGACACCCTCAGGCTCTGCTTCCTCTGAAAAAGTAGAAAAATAAACAGTGAGGGTGGGGGGAAAACAGCCTTTCCCCTTCCCTGCAGCCCCAAACCTGGGCTCCTTGCTGTGCCTCAGCGGTGACAGGGGCTCACTGCTGTGTCAGGGTGGTGAGGCACCAAGGGGACCTGGTGGCACCCAGGGACAGGTCTGGGCTGCAGATGTGGAGAGGCAGGGTCCCTCACTCATGGAAATGGTCCTCCCCTCCGCCAGCCCATCAACACAGGCGTCAGGGCCTGCAGGGTGCTTGGGGTGGGCATGTGGCTGCCCCACTCTGATTTCTTTGCCATAAACACACCGTGAGGCAGCAGATCTCTACAGAAAACATGAGTGCACACACACACCACACCGGCTGACAGTGGCCTATGCAACCAAATGCTGTGCTGAAGACAGATCCTGGTGCCAGGGCACTGCTGGGGGGGTTTCCCCCACACACAGACCCCTGTGTCCCTGCCGTCCCCCAGAGCCGCTGCCCCGGGGCCGGGGTAGGGCCATGGGTCACCCGCTGTCCTGTTTCTGTTTGGTGCACACTGCTGGATGCCAAAAGGGCCTGAGCAGCGGGACGGCCAGCCTGGAGTCCCTGCGGCAGCTGAGCAGCCGGCACAGCAGCGAGCACACCTACGCGACGCTCTCGCAGCTCTCCAGCTCCCGGGTAAAGCACCACCCCCCGGCAGCCCCTCCGTGCAGTGCAGCTCACCCTCCCCTCCCCAGAACAAGCCCCCCAGGAGCCAGCCCCCAGTGGGGGGCCCGTGGAAGAAGCAGACCAGTGATTTGCACAGAGCATGTGCCCATAGGATGGAGCTGCCGCTCCCTGGGCTCAGAAGAGTTTTGAGAGAGGGCTGGGAGTGGAGCAGATCTCCCTTGTAGACACCCCCCCTCCGTGCCTCAGTTTCTCCTTCTGTAAACCAGTCCCCTTTGCCGAGGACTGAGTGATGCTGAGGCAGACTGATGGCTGCTCCTGGGCTGCTGCCCAGCTCTGCAGGCCATGCCCGCCCCTCTGACAGGGTGAGGGCTCTCTCTGCCTGCCTGGCTGCCTCGGTGCAGGCAGGTTTGAGGCACTGGGGGCTCCTGCAGTCACTCCAGCAGCTGCTCAGGGCACACAGGCACTTCACAGCTTGAGGCTTAGGGAGGAGTGTGGGGCAGGACAGGCTCCCAGGATGGGTGGTGAGATGCAGGAGCTCCAGGGAGATCAGGCCTGGTTCTCCTTGCCTCCTCTCCACCTTCATCAACCTCTGGATGCCAGGACGGCTTCCTGGCTGTCCCCAGCACAGCCCCCTGAGCACCAACCCCTGGAGATCAACACCCACCGGACCAGTGAAGGGAGTGGGAGGTTCTGTAGAAGCTTAGGACAGACCTCCCCGAGGTGGAGGCTGCAGAGCCACCCCGGGTGCTGCTGACACAGCACTGGGTGCAGCCAGGAGCACCTCGGGATGCTCCTCTGCCAGAGACCCGAGCAGAGCACGCAGCTCCTGTGCCTAACAAAGCAAATCCCTCCCACAGACCACCCAAATCCAGGAGCTCCCCACAACCAGCCTCGGCCCCCAGTAAGCTCCCTGGGGCTGCCCCAGCCCAAAGGGACCCTCCAGCAGAGAGGACCAGTCTGCCATCTCCCAGGGGAGTAGCTGCTGGCTCCCAGGGCACAGGGGGCTCCCCCCTCCAGGGCAGCCACCAGCACTCAGCCTGGGGCAGGGAAATAAAACTCCACTGCAAATAAGAAGTAATCTCAGCAGTTTGAGCCGCTGCTGCTCTTCCGACTGAAAAATCCTGCTTAGCCTGTAGATTGCTGAGTTAAATAAGGATGGCAGGGGACACAATCTCTGCATGAGAGCCCCCGTGAGGGGGGGGCATGAGAGCCCCAAGCTGAGCTCAGCGAGCAGGGCTGCTCTCCGTGTCCTGGAGGGCAGTGCCGGTCGGAGATGGCGTTTGGGATCCAGCACCCAGGCTGCGGGTGGGCATGGCAACAGGGAGAGGCACTGTCCCTGGGAGAAGGGACCCTCCACAGCCGGGTACAGCACTGGCAGGGCAAAGGAGAGATGAACCACAGAGACCGAGTGAGTCCAAATGAGCCCAGATGAGCCCAGGGACTCAGTAAAGCATCAGATGTGCAGCCTGTGCTTGCACATGCCTGTCCCTCCCCAAATCTTTGCACACACAAGCCTCCCCGAGGATAACAGAGCAGGCCAAGGCACGTGGCTCACAGTGTTGGTGGGGAGGAGTGCAGGCACTGCTGGCCAGCACCTGAGGGATGGTGAGGCAAGCAAGGCTGCGTCCTGAACAGTGGCAGTGGGCTGTGACTGGAGATTTTCATGGCATTTTTGCACCTTTGATCATGGGGATGCAGCTCTGTGGGCACGTTGCCCCCTCTGCAGACCCCTGCCAGCACAGCAAGAGAGGGTGAGCAAGGGCAGAGAGCTCAGCAAGGAGACAAGCTCTCTCAGCCTCCCTGCTCTGCTGCACCAGGCAGCCCCCACCAAGCAGACACGGCGAGAAATGGGGGTCTGGGTCCTTGGAAGGACCTGGGAGCCCTGCAAGCTCTGGTGGTAGCCAGGCTCCTGCATCCTTGCCTGGCTCTGCCCCAGCAAGATGCCTGTCCCCTCCTATTCACCAGCACAGGCACACTTCCACCCTGCAGCAAACACAGCTGCCACAGCAGTGCCTGCACCCCTGAGATCCCTGCACCCCCACATGCCCATCCTCCCCCTCACACCAGTTCACCCCCATGCCCAAGAGCTGGGCTTCTCAAGCCCTCATGGTGGAGCTGGGAGGAGGCTGGGGGGATCTGTGTCAGGCTGGCAGGGCCAGGGTTGTCTTTGGATGCACCCCTAAAGCGTGCTGGATGGGAAGGCCGTGGGTCAGCACTCACCCCCATCCCCTGTGCACGCCACTGCTGGTCCCGTGCTCCTGCCTGCATGGTCCAGGCTCTCCGAAAAAGCACCCAGCCTCACACCAGGCACTGTCACCCAGCACCACAGGGTGGGTAGGACACGCAGCCACAAGCAGCTGCTCACCCTGCAGCCCCAGCACCCGCAGGCGCCCTGGCTGACAGCCTTTCCCTTCGCCAGGAGGAAGAGCTCGTCCGCGAGAGCCGCTTCTACCTGCGAGGCTACGGGCTGGGCCACTGCCTGCAGCCCAAGGACGGGGCTGGGGAGGGTCCCAGCATGTACAGCCCCCCTCCAGCCGCCCTGCTGAGGGAGGGGGAGGCCCTCCACAGGCGCTACCTCGACCGGGCCAAGCGCATCGACACCATCTCCAGAGCCGTCTTCCCCTTCACCTTCCTGGTCTTCAATATCTTCTACTGGGTCGTTTACAAAGTGCTGCGCTCGGAGGACATCCACCTGGTGCCCTGAGGCCTGGAAAAGTACGACTGCCTGTGTGTCTGACCCCCTTGCAGTGTGCCCGGGCAACACAAGCTCAGCCAGAACTGCATTTCCCTCTGTCCCCGAGCAGCGGCTCAGCTGGGCTGGGCATCAGAGCCTGGACAGACATGTGGTAGCCCATTCCCCACTGGATCCCAGGGCACCAAGAAGGGGGATCAACAACCACAGGTCCCCACAGTCAGCTGGAGAGAGGGACCCTTCCTACTTCCCGCATGGTGTCACCCCCAGGTACCCAGGGATGCTGATCTGCTGGGGAAGCCCCAGGAACCCTGGGATGCTGTGCTGTCAGGGCATAGGGAACAAATAGTACCCAGGAATGCAGTGCTGGACGGCACAGGGGAGCCCCTGGAACTCTCGGCATGCTGCACAGACAGTGGCCAAAGAACATCACCTTCCAGAAAAAGATTCTCCACCTCCACACCTACCTGGCTAGGCTGCAGCTTCTCCAGGCTGCATCACGGAGCTGGGGGCCATGGGCAGCAGTTCTCTCTCCTCTAGCCTGGAGCTCGGTTGCAGGAAAGGCTGGACTGTCTGGAGTGCTGTCCATGGCCCCATAGCCCCCAGCCCAGCAGTGGACAGGGCCCCTCCAGCCCCCAGCCAGCTCCAACGCACAGCAAAGCAGTGGATCAGGGATGCTTCCCTCGCTGCACAGCTCAGAACTGCCCATGATGCCCATGGCTGCAGGCAGGACTGTGGCAGGGGCACTGGACAGGAGGCTCTGCTTGCTCCAAGGCAGTGCCAGCTCTGAGGCAGGCAGCAGGCAAGCCCAGTCCTGCTGATGGAGAGGGAGCACAGATGGCCACTGCAGTTGCAGATGGCAGTCACTGGGCACTGGAGAGCCAGCACTGCACTATCAGCAGGGAAGGGCCCACAGCCCCTCTTCCAAGGGAGATTTTCAGGATGAAGGCAGTGGGGACAGTTTTGCTGATCCTTGTGGGTGAGCAGAGTGGTGGCATCCCCAGACTGCTGTGTTTCCACAGCACCACAGTGCCAGCAGAGAGCCAGAGGTGGAAACCAGCCTGTTCCCCAGCCTGGCACCTGGGTGCAGCATCCCCTGGGCATGTTCACCCCTGCTACTCCTCCACTGGGCAGGAAAGCAACTGAAACCTTGACAGGAGAAGCTCAGTAAGGCTTCCAGCCCTCCAGACCTGGATACCCTCCGTGCTTAGCAGGAAATAAAAGCAGTAGGAGACATTTATGTAGGTCCTACAGAGAGAAACGTGTTGATGCTCTGCTTTCCCTCTGCCCACAGTCAGCCTGGGGGGCTTGCAGCCCACCCCCTCCACGGCCATGGGACCCAGAGAAGGCCCAGGGTCCTCCAGATAGGGCAGGATGGAAACAGGATTTTCCCCTTTCCCTGAAGGCTGTGGTGTCCCCATGGCACAGAGGTGACCCGCCTGTCATAGCAGAATGGACCCTGCGGGGCAGGGGGACACGGGCAGGAGGCTGGCACTGCCTTCTGAAGCCAGACCCAGGAAGAAACCCCTGCTATGACCCCTGGCCTGGCTCCTCAAGCAGGAATCACCCTTTCCCTCACCGGACTGGGAACATCACCCTGCCCCACCCAACACCCTGAACCCCACAGAGTCCTCAGCCACGAGCACCCATCTCACAGGCTGGGCAAGCAGAGAACTGGCCCCAGTCCCAGCAGAGGACTGAGGGAGCCACGAGGACAGGCTGGGCCAGCTCCATCCCATCACCACCACTGTGCATGCCTCCCCCACCGTGGGGTTCCCTGTGGGGTCTCACCCCATGTCCAGGATGGACTTGCTTTTGGGGAGGCCCTGTTTGGAGGCAGGGGAAGGGGTGTCCCTGGGCTCCCCAGCACCCAAGGCAGTGCCCAATGGGGAGGTACCAGTGCCTGAGCAGCACCCACAGGCACTGGGCAGCCACGCCAGCCTCCAGCAGTGGTGGGTTTTTAAACAGCATCGATCTTCCTACGCAAATAAAGCTTTCTGGGATTTTCAGTGGTGCGCTGGTGATCTGTCTCTGCCAAGAACCCTGCAGCCAGCTCCTGCTCCCAGCGGGGCCCCAGTGTGTTGGGGGGACAAGGCACAACCACCCTGAGGGGACAGGAGCCCTGAGCTGCCATCAGTCACAGATGTCATTACCTCCACGGGTGATTTTTCTGACATCACGTTTATCTGCCCCGTGGGAGACGCCAGCAGGGATGGGCAGGAGCCCCCCCACAAGCTCCCAGCCTCATGTCCCATCACTCTCCCTCCCCACCCAGCTCTGTAGGGTGCTCCCCATTGTCACCCCAGCCCCTTTCCACCCCATCCAGGCTTGGCCAGGAGACAGGACCCCGGGTGAGGCAGCAGTGGGGACAGGGGGGCTCTGGCTCTGCGGTGGGGCTCAGACACCCGAGCATGTGCAGCCTCCTGACGGATGAACCTCCCTGCCCGGCCCCTCGGGCCCTGCAGGCTGCTGGCTGGGCCGGTGCCAGCCTTACAGAGCTGCCAGCTGTGCTGGGGGGCTTACGCCAGCCCCGCAGTGCCACCCGGGGCCAGGGCTTTTGTCCCCAGCTGGTGCAGGGGCGGGCAGAGCCCGCAGCTGAGGGCTGAGCGCCCAAGCAAACATCAATCTCCCTCTGTCCTCGCGGCCAAGTTTCACAGACCGGCTCTGTTGGTACCTCGCAGCCCCATCGCCCGCCCGGCCCCACCGAGGCCCTCGGAGGCAGGGAGGAGAGAAAGCAAGCTGCACCCACGCTGCTGGGGTCCTGGGGCTGTTCTCTAGAGGGGACAAACAAAGCTTCCCCAGGGGCTTGCTCTCGTCCCCACCCCAAACCTAGAGGGGATCCAGCCAAGGGGGCAGCTGTGAGATATTTCACAGCAGTGCAGTGCACCCAGATCCTTCACTCCCTGCTCTCCTTTCCTGCCTTGCTGGATGGCAGTGTCTGTTTGGAGATAAGCCCTAAGCCACTCAGCTCCAGGAAACAGCACATCCCAATAAAAATGGGAAATGTACAAAACCAACACTTCCATCCTAAGCCCAAGTCCCCAGGCCCCATGCACTGGTCACTGAGAGGTGGGGTGGCCCATCTCTGGCATTAAACACTTCCAAAGGCACGAGGGGAACACTGCCCCGTGCCTCCACAGATCCCTGGGATTTGGGTGTCCCTGGGGAAGTTTCAGGGTCAGGAGCAGCACTCAGTCCCTGCCCAATTTGGACTGGGAGCTGCTGGGACACCCACAGAGCTACAGGGCTGTCCCTGCCCTCCAGCACACAGCTCCTCACACCCTGGAGGCAGCAGCAGCACCCAGTCTGGGGGTGCTGAGCCCCATGTGCTCCCACAGCATTGCCAGGGGCCAGCCCAGGTGGCTCCATCCCCCAGCAAAGCCCAGAGCCTTTGGACAGAGTCGGTTTTCCATTCCCCACCCGAGGCTGTGCACTGGGGGGGGCATCCCAGCCACCACAGGACGCAGCTCTGGGCACAGGACCAACAGCCATGGCCGAGTTAATTACTGGTTTAAAAGGAAGTTAATGAAGTTAACACCAGGTTAATGGGGCTCCCAGACAGCAAAATGAGCATCATCAGCACTGGCAGCTTCCCGACAGCCTGCCAACAGCATGCCCAGGGCCAGGAGCACACACGGGTTTGGGGCAGCCCTTGCCAGCCCCAAAGGCTCCTTGGAGGCCCTCTGTGGCTCCAAGGAAAAGTGCCCTTGGCTGGGCACTGCACTGGCACACCATCCAGGCCCTGCTCTGCCAACCACAGAGGGCCTGATCCTGCTGGAACTGAGCTCTGCCACTGTGCATGGGCAACATCAGGGTGCCCAACCTTTCCTTTTCCCCTCTCCTTCACTCATCCACAGCCTGCAGCTCCCTTGGGGCAACATCAGCTGCCAGAGGTTTAGCCAACCCTCCTGTCTGGCTGCAGCAATGCCTGCAGGACAGCGTGTCCCACACTGAGCAGGACTCTGGGTTTGGAGCCAGGGGAGTGCCATGCACTGCTCTGAGCAACCCCTGCACATTGCCTGGGCACAGAATTGTTTTTTCAAAGAAAATGTCAAGCTCCAAAGTCAGCCAGGTAGTTCTGAGCGGGCCAGGGCCTGCCCCTTACAAGTGGGGAAATGGACACAAGAGGAAAGCACTGGGAGCTGCTGCTGGGATGGGCTGTGCCAGGGGCACTGAGCCCTTGCAGGACCACAGACCCACAGGGACAGGAACCCTCCGGCACAGGGAAGGTCCAGGCATAGGTTGCTCTGGCAGGGTGGCTGTGCCAGCACCCCAGCCCTCAGCGCAGCTCTGCCAGTGCTGCCCCCAGGACAGAGGAGCCCCAGTGCACCCCTCTGCCACCCAAGCTGCAGCAACGCACCACTGCCTGTCACCCCCACCAGGGCCCTGCCAAACCCCACACCAGCAGGGCCACATCCCCCCCCAACCCCCAGCACGGCTTTGGGGCCAGCCTGCACCACCCTGGGGACACCAGCCAGCACATGGAGCCCACAGGGCACCCTACAGCTCCCCAGCCCAGGAGGTGTAGGTGTGCCAGGACACAGGGAAGCTGCAGTGAGGGAGGGCTGGAACCCAAGACAAGCAGGGATGAGCCCTGCAGCACTCCTGAGCCCTGGGAATACGGGATAACTGCCCAGCTCCAGACTGTCGTTGTGCACAAGAGAAAAAACAAAGCCATGAGGTTTTCCAGCCCCCAGAGTGTCTTGTTTTGTCCGACTTTGAGAAATCTCTGCGCTTCGGCTCCCCAAGGGGCAGGGGGAGGACCCAGGCACTGGAACAAGGAGTGATTATCAACCCACGGGCTCTGAAGGGCTTTTGTTCCCTGGATGTGCCAGAGCAGGGATGGGAGGACACCTAGCGAGATGCCTGCATGGCCCCAGCACCAGAGGCACCCACGGCCCAGGGCCACCACCCACGGCCCTGCAGCGCTCCCATCCTGCTCCCCTCCTCCTACTGTGCTGGGGGCCACAATGAGAGATCCAGTGGGGCTGCAGGGGCTGGTCCAGCCCTGGGGAGAGGCACAGACAGGGGAGAAGAACTGGCTCCTCACTTCCCACTGTTCTCAGTGCTGCCTTGGCAGAGGGAGCCTCCATGGCTCCCTGACTGGCCACACATGATATCAGTGATGACACCCCCAGAAATGCTCAGTGCTCACAGTGACTCCTGCAAAAACAGGGATTAAATCCAGATGTGCTGACTGGCATCAGGTGCCCTTGGAGCTCTCCAGGTCCTGCTGACACCAGTGTTGCCCATTCCCAGAGGTTCTCATCTCAACTGCCATCCAGATGTTACTGCTGCAAAGGAGGAAATTCCCAGTGATTGTGACTTATTCTCATAGCTGAACTTGTTGAAGAGAGACCAAAATCTTTGAGTGCAAAGATCTGGATGGGCACATGCACCCCAAGCACAGACAGGCTGGATCCAGCCCCCCAAGGGTTCTCCACACACGGGCAGAGTGGCAGCAAACAGCCTGGCCATACTCCACACTTTGGATCAGACTCTTGCCAGTGCTGGATCCAGCCCCGGGCTCTGATCCTTGGATCATGCAAGTGCAGAGCCAGGCTTTGCAGAGACCCTTCGTGAATTGAGGGGCCCAGAACTGGACACAGGAGTTGAGGTGTGGCCTCACCAGTGCCCAGCACAGCGGGACAATCACTGCCCTGGTCCTGCTGCCACGCTATTGCTGGTACATTCCAGGTGCCATTGGCCTCCTTGCCCACCAGGCAGGCACACAGGGTCTTGACCCCAGGGGCATGACATCCCCCCGAACACCTCCTGGTGCCATGTTGACCCAGCCAGGCAGAAAGGGACCTGGGAGTTTGGATTGGCTGCGTCAGTCAGGAAGCTGAACATGAGCCAGCAGTGTGCCCAGGTGGCCAAGAAGGCCAATGGCATCCTGGCCTGGCTCAGGAACAGTGTGGCAGCAGGACCAGTGAAGTGATTCTTGCCCTGCACTCAGCGCTGGTGAGGCCACCCCTGGAGTGCTGTGTCCAGCTCGGGGCCCCTCAACTCAGGAAGGACATTGAGGTGCTGGAGCAGGTGAAGAGGAGAGCAACGAGGCTGGGAAAGGGACTTGAGCACAAGTAGTGTAAGAAGAGGCTGAGGGAGCTGGGGTCACTGAGCCTGGAGGAGGCTCAGGGGAGACCTCATCACTCTTTACAACTCCCTGACAGGAGGGGGGAAGGCCAGGTATGGCATCGGTCTCTTCTCCCAGGCAACCAGCAGCAGGACAAAGAGGGCACGACCTCAAGCTCTGCCAGCGTAGGCTTAGGTTGGATGTTCGAAAGAAAATTTTTACAGAGAGCGAGCGAGCAGCCAGACACTGGAATGGGCTGCCATTCCAGAGAGGTGGAATCCACCCACCAGGGAAGGTGGTGGTTCGCTGTCCCTGGAGGTTTTTAAGACGAGACCGGATGTGGCACTCACTGCCACGGCCTCGAAAAGGCGGATAAAGGCCCGGACTCGACGATTTCGGGGGGTTCTTTTCCCACCCGGTTTTCCACGCCGCGATTCCACGACCTCCCGCCACGTGACGCGGCCCTCACGTGTCCCCACGGACACGGGGGGGCGGGCCTACGGGGCAGCGCCGAGCGCGGCGATTGGCTACGCCCAGAAGGGCCAAGCGATTGGCCGCCGCTGATTGGTTGCCCGCGGCTGTCCATCACGCCGCGGCGAGATGGCGGCGCCGGTGATGATGGTGGTGGTGATGGTGATGGTGATGATGGTGGCGGTGGCGGCGGCGCTGGACAACGGGCTGGCCCGCACGCCGCCCATGGGGTGGCTGCACTGGGAGCGCTTCCTCTGCGGCACCGACTGCGCCGGCCACCCGAGCCGCTGCGTGAGGTACGGGCGGGCTGCGAGGCGGGAGAGCCCGGGGTGGGTAGCGCGGGTACCGGCGCGGGCACATCCGTGCCCGCGCCGGTACCCGCGCTACCCACCCCGGGCTCTGTGGCTTTGGTAGAGAGGGTGCGGGGAAAAAAGCCGAGCTCGGCAGCAGGAATGTAGCTTGCCACACCGCCCCCCGCGCAGCGAGCGGCTCTTCGTGGAGATGGCGGACAGGATGGCGTCCGAGGGCTGGAGGGAGGCGGGCTACGAGTTCCTCTGCATCGACGACTGCTGGATGGCCCCCACGCGCGACGGGCAGGGCAGGCTGCGGGCCGACCCCAGGCGGTTCCCCGGGGGGATCCGCCGGCTGGCCGACTACGTGAGTGCCACCCGCGGGGTGGGAGGGGGGTGGTCGCGGCTGTCACCTGTCCCCCCCCCCCATGCCCAGGTCTTTCTCTCTCTCTCTCTGTAATTCTCCCTGCAAGCTGCAGGTGCACTCCAAGGGCCTGAAGCTGGGCATCTACAGCGACGTGGGGAAGAAGACGTGCGCCGGCTTCCCCGGCAGCTATGGCCACTACGAGCTGGACGCCAGCACCTTCGCCTCGTGGGGCGTGGACCTGCTCAAGTTCGACGGCTGCAGCTCCGGCTCGCCGGAGCAGCTGGCAGAAGGTAGGCAGGGGCTCCAGGCAGCCCTTCCCGTGGGTGGGATTTGCTCAGGAAAGTCTCAGTGCGAGGCTCTCTTCCCAAAGTGCTGAGTGTTGCTTGGCCCTGGGTGTTTTCTCCTGCGAGCACAGCTTGGGAACGGAGGGCACAGACACATCAGCTGCATGCTCTGGTGGGGTGGCTGTGCAGGCTGCTCCTCAGCTCCTAACACGGCAGAGGTTTGGCCCTCCTGCAGTGCCTTTTTCTGGAGAGCTCAGAGCGTTTCACACACTTAAACCCTCAATCCCCGCGGCGAGGCTGCGTCAACGCGAATCAGCCCGAAGCAAGAACGGGTTGTGTCAGCCATGAGAAGGGCAGCTATGAGAGCTTTTAAGGGATGAAAAGGGAGGGAATTATGGCATAATAATCCTACTGGGGTTTTCATTTTAATGCACACCGGTGTAAGTATCACTTCAGAAGTTATTTGCACGCGGGCTGGCAAGGCAGCAGTGAAAGCTCAGTAGCTCCCTGTGCTGAGAGGGGTTGGCTACAGACTCTCTGGAAGCACAGGCAAATCCCAGTGCCACAGGAGCAGATTTGAGGGAAGGACACTGTAACTTGGAAGGCATTTTTCTCTAGCCTGGGCTCTGGCTGCTGGCACAGTCAGCACCACAGGGTTTGGCAGCAGGAGTCCTGCAGAGAGTCCTGTCTCTGCCTGGCAGGGAGAACCTGCCCAAGTGACAACCCCATCGAAGCCAGATGGTGGGGCATATGCCAACTGCCACAGACAGGAGCACAGCTCAGCACCCTGAGTGACAGCTGAGCTGAAAGCTTCTGTTGGATCATATGTGTAGCCCAGATACAATCCAGTTGTACTGAAGCAGTTCCAGAGGAGAGAGCAGACTTCTCATTCCCTCTCTGCCAATTGGAAGGGACTTAACAGGGCTGTCTGGGGACAAGGACGGGAAAAACTAGTGCTTTTGCATTCCTGCCCAGTCCATATGGTGCAACTGCCTCATGAGAACATATTCCTGCAACATTACCCAGCAAAGCTGCACTGCTTGATAGGTAATAACTTGTATTTCCTGGGTATCTAGAGGAAAAAGTGCCACACAGTAAAGCTTTCAACCTCTTCCATGGCTGTATGGACAGAGGGATCAGCAGTTTTGGGAGCAATAAGCCTGCCCAAGCAAAGCTGTGAAGCAGCTCACCTGTCCTTGGCAGGCAGGAGATTGGCTGCAGACTGAGCTCCCCTGTCCACCTGTGGTGTCTCAGCCGTGGTAATGTGTTCAGCCTCGGTTCTGTGAGAGCTGAGCTGAAACCTGAACCCCTGACATCGGGTTAGTTCTGCAGAGGCTTTGAGGTTGTGTAACCTCTGTCTTCCTTTAGGTTACAGGCACATGTCTCTGGCCCTGAACAAGACTGGAAGGAGCATTGTGTACGCCTGCGAGTGGCCTTTCTACCTGAGGCCCATGCAGCAGGTAAGAAGTGTTTCTCAAGGCTTATCCTGGGGCTGAAAGTGGGAAGAACAGAAAAACATTAAGACTGAAAAAACGACGTCCTGAGGAATTCTGTTCTGGCAGAGACCAAGGCTGTACGATGGAGGAAAAATACTTTTTCCTCTAGAGCCCTGAACTGCACCTGAGGTGAGTCACTGCTCTGCTGAAACACATTCAGAAGGATCCTGCAGCAGGAAGGCACAGCCCAGCTGGAGGATGCCAAAAAAACACAGCAGCATCCATCTGCTTTCTGTCTCCAGGGAACCAAGCAGCAAACCTCTGGCAGTGCAGACACACAGGCTCAGTGTTACTCCTCGTGGACACAGAGAGTGCTGCAGACTCAGCCTTGCAGTCACCTCTGGGGACCAGGAGAGAGGCTTTGTGACATCCCCCACATTGCTCAGTGACACATTTCTGCCAGCCAGGGTCCGTGACACACACGTTGCCCTCAGCTGGCTTCCCCTGTGCCATGGTGACAGAATGGTGCCATTCCCTCCCACTGGAATTAACTGTATTACTCAGCAAAGGGTGTAAACCCAAGAAATGGCAGTAATTATTGGGATATCACAGTTTAATTCCGCTGGCCCTGTCACACCCTCAGTAAAATTGCGCTGAAAGGAATTTTCTAACAGAGCTGGTGGCCAAAACTGTTCTCCTAAGGGAAGCAGTTGTGTTGGGACATGGCAGACTGGAGTCCCTGGGCACAAAGCTTCCTAGGGAATCAACATGCACCACATCATCCAGATGGCTGATGATGGAAGGTGTTATCCTAGTACTCCCCCAAATTACCCCTGATCCATTTAGCCTTGTGTACACTCTTCTTGTACAGCCAGGTGCCCTGGCTAATCACACTCATTGTTTTGGCAGCCCAATTACACGGAGATCAAACAGTACTGCAATCACTGGAGGAACTTTAATGATGTCTATGATTCCTGGAACAGCATCAAGAGTATCTTGGAATGGACAGCTCTTCACCAGGACAGCATTGTGAAGATAGCTGGGCCGGGGGGCTGGAATGATCCTGACATGGCAAGTACAGCAACACCCACCCCTCTTGAAGCATCACCAAAAATTCCTTCCCTCAGCTGTAGGCTGGGAAGGATGGGAAGGGAGGGATCTAGGGGGGAAACATTGAGGGGAAGGGGTCTGATGGGACCCTGTAATCAGGATCTTGAGGAAAGGGTCCTGGCTGGAAAGGGGAAGAGAACTGCAGGTACAGATGGTACTAAGGAAGCACCATCTCAATGTAATGCAGCCTCCACAAACAGCACCAGTTCAAAACACAGGTGTGGCACTGGGGGACAGTCTCCACAGTGCTGATGTCCCTCCCACCAGAGGGAAAACCCCTGGGTGCCAGCATTGCAAGGAAGGAATACCTTAAACACTGCCTAGCCACTTAAGGAGCCGCCTCTACTTCCACCAGTGGCTCATTCTAAATTGCCCCACTAGTCATGCCTTGTTTTTCCCTACCTGCTCCTGGCACTCAGCCTATCTAGCCAGGCTCCAGAGAGGGGGCCCACCCTTTGCATCCTGTCATTTCCCAGTGCTTGGGTTGGTGGCCCAGTTCCTGCTCTGCAGGCAGCGTTACCAGGCGTTTTTTTGTTTTCATGTCACAGCTGGTGATTGGAAACTTCGGGCTGAGCTGGGACCAGTCGGTGACTCAGATGGCCATGTGGGCCATCATGGCAGCTCCCCTCTTCATGTCCAACGACCTGCGGCGCATCAGCCCCGAGGCCAAGTGTCTGCTCCAGAACAGGGAGGTGATCGCCATCAACCAGGACCCGCTGGGCAGGCAGGGATACCGGATCCTCAAGGTACAGCAGGATGGGGCTGGGGGTGCACTGTGGGGCTCAGGCAGCCAGCCAGCCCCTCAGAAAGGGGGCATGGAGGCACAGAGGTGCTCAGGGTTTGGGAGGAGAGAAGCCCAGAGAGCCCGTTTGTTCCCAAAGCCTGCTGGAACAGACAGTGTGACCATCGCTCCAGCCTCCCCTGACCTGAGCCCCAGGTTTGTTTTCTCCTTGGCAGGACAAGACCTTTGAGCTGTGGGAGAGGCCCCTGTCTGGCCGAGCCTACGCTGTGGCCGTGCTGAACCAGCAGGAGATTGGGGGACCCCAGAACTTCACCTTCTCCCTCACCTTCCTGGGCAATGGGCTGGCCTGCAACCCCGCCTGCTCCGTGCGCCAGGTCCTGCCAGCCAGCAGGGACTGGGGCGTTTACAGCTGGATCTCCTCCCTGAGCGTGGAGGTGAACCCCACGGGCACCGTGCTGCTCAAAGTCCTGCCACTCTAGCAGGCACAAAGACAGCCTTCTCCTAAGCCTTAGACTCTGTCTGAACTCCTTGAGGACTCCTCCTGTGGCAGGAGTCTCCTTCCTCCAAGCAGGTGCCTTTGTTCTCAGTACTTGAACTTCCAGCCTAAGGTGGCAAATACCCATCACTCCATCACCAAGAGGGAACAAAGAAAGGGATGCTGGTCTGCTATTTACCCTTTCTCTGGCATCTCACCCAGCTCCTTCTCCAAGGGGCTGGAAGGGCTCTAGCAGGGCAGCAGCTCCTTCTACCAAGCAAGGAAAGGCAAGGGATACACATGCAGCATCCTACAGCTCACCTTGAGCATTTCAGGGGCAGAAGGGAACGCATCCTGGCCACCTTGCTCTTTTTCCACACCAGGGCACACAGTCCAAGAAAAGCTGCTCCTACCCCTCTAAAGAAACCCACCACTCTGCTCAGAGCATGGACATTTACTTTCTGACGACTCAGGGACTGGCCTAAATCATTGCACTTAGCAACTTTATTGACAGCTGCTTGCTTGGTATAAACAGGATTAAGTGGCATGCTGCAGGACTAAGCTTCTGAGAGTTTCTCCTCACACCAGAAACCTTCCTCTCACCAGTGGCTGTCACTTCCCTCTCTACCCTTCATGTGGCCACTGGAGTTCCCTTCCTCAGTGAGCTGCCTTCCAGAAACAGCTGTGTGCTTGCTTCCAGTGCTGGCAGCAGCCTTTGAATGACACAGGTCCTTCCAGGACTGGAGATGGATCATAACTTACGCAGCCATGCATGTACAAGTATGTTCTCTTCTGACCACTACACAGTCAGGATTCCTTCACCTGTTCTTTTGTGATTAAGCACTTTGATTAAAAGTCCCTTTAAAAGGCTAAGCTTTTTCTTACCTGTACTGGAGGACAGCACGGTGTCTGAATTAAATCAGGTTTTAGAAGACAGGCCAGTTTGTTCCAGTGACGTGAGGTTTTGTGAAAGGACTGCCAGAAGCTGCACTCAGTGAAGCTGACAAGACACAACCATACAGTCCATCCCACAGGCCAAAGCCACTGCTGCCTACAGAACTTTGGAAATGCCCATCATGTCAGCCTATACTGAATAAGGAAAAATAGATTCTGTGACAGTTCAGTAACCGCGTGTCTCGGTCACTATGAAGGTCTGAAGAAGCATTTCTCCATCCTCCAGCTGCATTTTCACTAAAAGGAAGTTGCTCTCAGAGCTCAGCCTTGCATTCCCAGCATCAGTAAGGAGATCCCAGCTATTGTGAGGGATTTTTCAAAAGCCTTTAGGTTTCAAACTGTTCTCTTAGTAAGCAGTCCTGCAGGCCAACACCTTCCTGCCAGGCTGATGTACTCCCAACTCCCGCCCCATCAACACGAGGAAACACATAAAAACAAGCAATGGCTCACTCTAAATACTTTAATATGGTCCGTGGTGATGAGCAGGACAATGCTCAGAACTGGATCACCTGGCCCTGTAAGAAGCAAGAGACACAGTGAGTTTATTGTGTACTGAGTACTGCCCCCCTTTCTCAGCCACTCGGGGCACACAAACCCACCTTTCTCTTCTTGTCTCCTCCCAGTTCAAAGTGCTTGCACCTCTTGATTGCCAGCATCCTCTTGGACCTGCAGTTGGGCTCCACACACTCCAGCCTCAGCACAATCTTCTTGGTGGTCTTGGCCTGGGAGGAGGAGCAGAGTGTTTTAATGAACCAAACATCCCCAAGTAGACAAACTGCTGCTCTCAGAGAACCTTGTAACCTGCACTCCTGAAGGCTCAGCAGTTTGTTCTTTTAAAGTGTAAAGAGAAACTACCAACAGAGGCTCCCTCCACTGAGAACAAGAGGGCATTTAAGGACCAGCAGGGGAATACAGTGGATCTGCATCTTTACAATAAAGGACAGTGGCAAAAGCATTCAGTGGGGCAGGACTGGTCTCTGCAGGGATCAGCCCTGCTGGAAAAAGGTCTGTGCCAGGGAACACAGGAACAGGCACTTGTACACTGTGGGAGAACAGACTGGCAGTGCTCAGGAGAAGCCCAGCAGAAAACTGGGCAGAAGAAACACCTGGAAGCAAAATGACCAACAAACTTCCTCTGGAAGGAGCAGTGACACAGCGGGCTCAGTGCAGACCCACAGCTCCTGGGAGCGGGATGACACCCAAAGAAAGACTGCAGCGGGAAGAATCCAAAGCTGTGAGGGTGCTGTAGCAGATGGACAGGACTGCAGCCACCAGCTAAAAACCTCAGCCAATCACCCATACAATGCTGACTGGGAAAAACCAGAAATGGGGATGGCAATGTACTGGTGCAGAGTGCCAGCAGTGCAGCTGCTTGGTGCACCCTGCTTGCAGAAGCACTTTCTGAGAGGTCTCCCCACTTCCTGGCACAAATTCAACTCGAAAACCTGCTGTCTCATTTTCTCTTTCCTGTTGGAAGAGTTGCTGTACATCTCCAGCAGGACACCAGGGCTTTCCAGCACCGAGCCCTAGGAGCACAGCTGAACAGTTCACACGAAACAACAATCTGACCCCCTGGGTTTCGCCTCCCTGCTGCAAACCACCACAGGTTTTTCCCTGCCCCAGCTCCCTGGCAGGAATTCACAGATGCACTGAGGGAAAACAGAGGGTGCAGTGCTGGGTACCCACACTGAGGAGGAAGGGTGACAGCAGCAGGTCTCTGCAGCTCACAGGTTACAGGATGCACTGCTGTCCTTCCACTGCTGCTCTGGGGCTCTCAGGAAAGGCCCAGCGCAGCAGCTCTCATTCCCTGGCTCAGCAGTACGGATTTCCCTGGAGACAGCAGGCTGTGAGAAAATGATGCTGTGTTCTGCAGTACTCCCAGGAGCTGCACACACTTGGCTCCCATCCCCTTGTCAGCAAAGGCAGCCTCACAAACCCAGCAAAAAGTTTCAGCGATAAACTGCTGGCACTTGCAAGGATGTCAGCAAAGCAAGCAGAAGGCTCCTTTCTCTTTGCTCTACTCTCCCCTTGGACAGGCAATGATGAAAACACTCCTTCTCTGCGAGTATCCTTCCCAGCAAGACCCCACTCCCCTGCAGAACGTGCTCTGCAAACACACCCTGCACAGCACAGCAAGGAGATGAGCCCAGCACCTCATGGGAGCCTACAAGGAAGATGGAGAGGGACTATTTACAATGGCATGGAGTGACAGGACAACAGGGAATGGCTCCAAACTGATAGAGAGTAGGTTTAGATTGGTAATAGGAAGAAATTCTCCCTGTGAGGGTGGGGAGGCCCTGGCACAGGTTTCTCAGAGAAGCTGTGGCTGCCCCATCCCTGGAAGAGTCCAAGGCCAGGCTGGACAGGGCTTGGGAGCAACCTGGGATAGTGGAAGGTAGGGACACTGGAACAAGATGATTTTTAAGGTCCCTTCCCACCCAAACCATTCCATAAGTCTGCTGTGGAGGGGGAGCTCACACTGCCAGCACAGAGCTGAGTTAACACAGGACAGGGCACAAGGCTGAGGAATCCTCCTCCAGCTGGGCCCCTGGGCTGCCAGGGAAGTCTCCTGTCCTTGTCCCAGGAGCAGCACTCACTCACTCACTCACCTTTTTACGGAAGATGGGCTTTGTCTGGCCCCCATATCCGCTCTGCTTCCGATCGTAGCGCCTCTTCCCTGTGGGAAGAGATGGCTCTGGTCAGGTAACCCCTCAGGAGGTGCTGCAAGCACAACTCGTGCTTCCTAAATCCTAGGATTTAGGATCCTGGATCCAGGTTTAGGATCCTGCACAGCCCACCAGCACCAGTGCCACCTCCTCAGCCCATGGCTAACACCCTCGTGCTGTCCCCAGGACTGGACCCTTTCCCTCACTCTGCAAAGCCAACAGACACGGGAGGTTGAGGGACCCGATTTATTATCCTCAAAGCCAGCACACAAAGGGGCCAAACCCAGGAGCATAATTTACACGTTTTGTTCGGGTGATACCTGCATCATGAACCCACCTCACTACTGCCTGAGCTGCCACCCAAGTTCACTTTTCTCTCGCCTCGATCTGAAGGTCCACACCATCTCCCGGTTAAACATTTCTACACCCCAACCGCCCCAGAGCACCTTGGACGTGTCATTAGCCACATCCTTTAGCTCAAGCTGTTCTTCTCCTCACAAACACACACACAGCCCCCTCGCTCCCCTTACCCTGCGCGTACAGCGAGTCCTTCCCCTTCTTGTACTGCGTGACCTTGTGCGGCTGGTGCTTCCCGCACTTCTTGCAGTACGTCCGGCGGGTTTTCGGCACGTTCACCTGCAGGCGGGGGTGAGGGGAGACACGATACACAACATCACATCACATCACGCCTCACGACTTGGCCCACCCCGCGCCCTTCTCTCCGGGGCGCCACCACCAAGATGGCGAGCGCGGGGACGGGACGGGCTCCATCCGCCGCCATCCGCACCGGGGACGGGCCCGTACGGGCCCGTCCCCGGTGCGGATGGCTGCGGATGGAACCCGGCCCGTCCCCGGTGCGGATGGCGGCGGATGGAGCCCGGCCCCGGGGCGGATGGAGGCGGATGGAGCCAGCCCCTACCCCACACTCACCATCTTGGCGGCGGCGTCGCGGAGAGAAAGGAGGTGGGGGGGGGGGAACCATAGAGAGGAGGCGGCACGGAGGGTACGGGGCGTGAGCGCCCCCTGCCGGTGGGAGGAGCGCAGGGCGGCAGGTTGGGGGTGTCGAGGGGTGCGGGGTAGGGGGGTTTTGAGGTTGGGGGGTGATTTGGGTTGGGGTTTGTGACCGTGGGGGGGTGTTGGGGGTGACTGGGGATTGGGGTTGGGGGTCTGGGATCATGGGTGACTGGGGTTGGGGTCTGTGATCATGGGGGGTGTTGGGGGTGACTGTGGTGATGGGGGTCTGTGACCTTGGGGGGTGTTGGGGGTGACTGCGGTGATGGGGTGATGGGTCTGTGACCATGGGGTGACTGTGGTTGGGGTCTGTGACCATGGGGTGACTGAGGTGTGGGTCCGCAGCTGGGCAGGGTGACCGATGGGGGTGTCTGGCTTGTAGGGGATGCTGGAGTTAAGGGTCCATGGGATCTGCGGGGTGCAGGCGGTGTCCAGCTGTTGGAAAGGTAAGTTGCGTGTTGGTAGAATTGCCTTGCTAAGATTTAGGGCCTGACACGACTCAGTGATCTCAGACCTAGTGGGAAGTTAACAAAGCTTGGGGAGAAGGGTGTGCTGTAGTGGACACAAAGAATGCAGAATTTATGGACCACAAGGACACCTGGCAGAACTCCCAAGATAAGGAAAAAACTAATAAAGCCGACTCAGCAAATGTGCTGGAATTGTCTCCAATGGGGTAATGGGTAATTCTGGCAGGGGGAGATCATGGCCACCAACTCACAGACCACCGACCCAAAAGAAGAGAAAAACTGAGCATGTGGACTAATTAGCATAAGAAGCGAGTGAATCCTTAACCAATAGAAGATAGAATATTAATTAATAAGAGAACGATGTAACTTGTAGCCAATAAACCTCAATGCCTTCGTTTTGTTAAAGCGTTTTTAAACAGCTTTGCAAGTTACTGTGCCGGCTTGGTGCCCCCTGCTCAGAACTGTAAATAAACCAAATATCTCAGCTCTGTGTGGGGATCAGCCTTGTGCACAGAGGGTGAAAGAACCCGTCTGGGGACAATGTGGGGACGGGCAGCCCAGAGGAGCCTGGCGCTACCCACAGCCCGGGGCAGGCTCTGGCCACGGCCATGGCCCAGTGGCCCCACGGCGATGGCCCCGTTGCCTGCAGGAGGAAACACAGATGCTGCCTTTGAGTCAGAAACCAGAAAAAGGGGAACCGAAAGGGTGGGGTTGGCCGGCCCCGTCCTTCCTCCCTCCCTCCCCGCGCGGCAGGCCCGCCATCCCTCCCTGCTCC